CCCTGCTAGGACTGGCATTCTATGGTACCAGCCAGCTAATTAATTTAAATAATTAGCTTATTTAAAGGCAGCAGTGGGTCCAACTTGACAGCACTGAGTTTGGTTTTGATTTGGTTTAGTGGGTCAAAATTGTCCAAGCTGGAGGTGAACCTGCTCACATACCTACATGCAACCAAACTAAACTACAAAAGTACAGTTTAGGTTTGGGACAGGCCTATCCACTCAAGTATGAAATAATCCATAGGTTATGCCAGAAAGTAAAAGAGGCTCAGTTTTCCAAAGAGATTACTGTATTTCTAGATGGCCAGTAACTCATCTGAATAGGCCCTGTAATTAACCCCCACTTATAAACTGGAAATCACTGATATGCCCGGCAAGGAGCCACAACAGACTTTAAACATAAAATCTCCAGTGTACAGAGCAACTGTTATCCTTTTGGGACCATGGGTCTCTATGAGAATCTGCTAAAAGCTTTCTCCTCTACCAAGAAAACACTCTACATGTGTTCCCTCTCAGATATATAAGCACACAATTTTAACTGCAATTATACACACACACACACACACATATGCACACATTTATATGCAAATGAACCCACTGCCATAGAGTTGATTCCAACTCCTAGAGATTCACTGCCCCATAATATTTCCAAAGCTGTAAGTCTTCATGAAAGCAGACTGCCTCATCTTTCTCCCACAGAGCAGCTGGTGGGTTTGAACTGCCAGGCTTTTGGTTAGCAGCTTTAACCATTATGCCACCAGAGCTCCTATTATTAGGGGTTCACAAATCCCCTAAAATCTCTCCCTAGACTCTAAGGATCTTTGCAATAGATCTATCTTGTTGCAGGCTTATCCTCCCAAGGGATTCAAAATTGTCCCAAGATCTGGGTCGGAGTTTCTAGGCAGCTGTGCTCGGGAGATAAATCATCTATTACGTCTCAGCACAATGCATCCTGCACAGAAAAGACAAAGGGCTCTCGCTCCCTCCCCGCCACAAATGTATACTGAGGGTATCTGAATAAAAAGATCTTCAATTTAACCTCAAAACACTAGTGGATGTGAATTGCAGAATAGCAACCCAACCTCATTTGATGCCTCTTTTCTGCCTCATGCTCAGAAAAACCTCACAGAATCTTAGAAGAGGTAAAAGAAACCAGGTAAAGCTATCCTAGTCCCCATGGTACTGTGCATTCCAAGAAAGAAATCAGTCAAAGTTACCAATTAGTCTTAACAGATGCTTTTTCTCCCACATGGGCTTTGAAAATGACAGGTTACTAAAGGAACCATATTACCTCACTCATAATTAAGGAAGAAATCAAAACAAGAAGATACTATTTTTCCCCTGTATTAGCAAAAGGTTAAGTGTTGGTGAGGGTCTAGAGAAACAGGTTCTCCTACACACAGTTGGTAGGTTTGTAAATCAGGGCAGGTTTTTTGGAGGGCAATTTGACAATTTTTTTATCAAAAATTTAAATACATATATAAATTCAGCAGCAATTCCCTACAGATATTTTTTGCAAAAGTCAGCCGAGATAGATGTGCAACCAGCATTAATTCATCATTGTTTACAATGGCCAAAAAATGGAAACAAGAAATTCTGGTTGCTGGGTACACTGTATAAATGGAATACCATACAGCCATTTAAAAAAATGAGCTTTTGGCAAGGATGTGGAGAAACTGGAACACTGGTATATTGCTGTTGGGAATGCCAAATGGTACAGCCATGGTGAAAACTGCCATGGCAGTTCCTAAAAAAGTTAAATACAGAATTACATATAATTCAGCAATTCCACTCCTAGCTACTGTGGTACAGTGAATTACTTGGTATGGCTCTTCTAGCCATGGTCTTTGGGACTCTCACCAGATTACTGGGGAGAGCTATGTAAATGGGAGGTGCTCTGTGGCCTACAAGGGGATTGGATAACTTGTCAGTAATGTAAATAAGATACATGGCATCCTTGTGACAGTCAGACCATGGAAATAAGGTGTATGGAACCCTAAAGTGGGGATCAGTCAGTTTTGTCATTTCACTAGGCTTAAAATAAGCCCTCCCAGAGGTGGAAAAGGGGATCTCACAGCCATCAAGAAAGAGAAACTGAGGATGAAGTGTGTCCTTGGACCCGAGATCCCTGTGGTAAGATACTGGCAGAGAGATGGCAGCAGCAGAACTGAGACCAGCATGAGACAGAGCAGGGGGCTGGCTGGCCCTCGAGGGAGAAAGCTGACTGCCATGGAGCAGAAGCCTTGCTGGTGGAGTAGGATGCATCTAGGCCCCCTATCCACAGAGCTAAAAGAGCTTTGTAACACTTGCCCGAGCAGGACACAGGCCAGGCCGAGAGGCACATGGCTTAGAGAGGCTGTCCTGATCAAAGAATTGTATCCTGAGCACGTTCCTGAACCTGAATTGTAATTTGTTACTTCCCTAATAAATCCCACAATCATCAGCATTGTCTGTGAGTTCTGTGTGGCCAGTGCAATGAATTATTAAACCCAGCAGAGAAGTAGTGAGTGTTGTGGGAGGGATGGTTAGTGTCAGAATTGGTAAAAAAAGGTTGGAGGGTGTTGGCATGTCTGACTTCTGCCTCAGAGGAATCAGCCTTGGACTGCTGATAGAGATTTTTCTCTCCCCTTCATGAAGTTAGAGGAGGTCAGAGGATCCCGCCCGCATGCCCATTTTGCAGGTATACACCCAAAATAACTGAAAGCAGCAACTCAAAGACACACATGTACATAAAAGTGCAGCATTATTCGCAATAGTTAAAAGGCAGAAGCAACCTAACAGCCCATCAGCAGAATGGATCAACAAAATGTGGTGCATACATACAACAGAGTATTATTCAGCTATAAAGTGAAATTAAGTCCAAATACCTGCCATCTCTCACATGGTTGAACCTTAAAAATATTATGCTAAGTGAAATAAATCAGAAACAAAGAATGAAATATAGGATAATTCCATGTTCATGAAATATGTAAAACAGGCAAATCCATCAAAACAAACAGTGATTATCAGGGGTCAGGGAAAGGAATCAATGGAGACTAGAAGAAAAAAAGAATGAACCTTATCTGTAAGTGCTGATATGAAAAGATCTCCAAGACATATTATTAATTGAAAAAGAGGTTGTAGACAGTGTGTATTATTACGTGGTTTCTTTAATATATATTTTTTAAAGGATACATCTATATGCTAGTATGCCCATTAAATTATGTTCTGGAATGATATATAACAAACTGTTCATTGGTTTCCTTTGTAGAGAATGAGTAGAGACTGAGAAGGAGAAGACCCACAGTGACACATAAATAATTAAACATGTATAACAGAGATAATCTAGAGATGGGATTATGGGAAAATTTTGTTTTATTTATACTTTTCTGTACAAAAGCCCTAAACCTAGTAAATGTTATTATAAAAAAATACAGAAACAATTATCCCTTGGAATATTTTAAAAAGAAAGAAACCATGTTTAGTGAAGAGACAAGTAGAAAGAGGAACAGGGCCTAATTACAATGCACAGTAAGAAATTGGTAGAGGCAATTAGGGGTGAATGAGGAGAATTAAAACACACATACCCCTCTCCTCTCAACATCCTGCTGAAAACACAAATTACTCAAGGTTTCCACTGAGGATGAATAGGTTGATGTCCCACTCCACTTGCCAGCTATTCATCACAATAATTAAGTATGGGAGATGGCAGGTTGGGAGGAGATGGTTAGCATAGTTATTCCAAATCCTGACTTTTGTAATATAGGTAAACCAGGACTGTTGTACCTACAGAGCCTAAAGTGGTAGAGAATGCTACAGCTGAACACAGGAGACATACTCCTGGCAGAAGTCTCTCTCAGCACACAGTGCAAAGGCACAACAGGGGTCCTGCACACATTTCAACAGCATAGAAAAGCAAGAGCCAGGTACATATGTGCAATAGAGAGGGCAGGAAAAATCTCTGTTGCCCCACGGAGCCCTGCTCAACACCAGGGGTACCCCTCTGGGCAACAAAGATCTGCTGTAATAGCACCAACCCCCCTGCCTGCCCCATGGAGAGAATTGGCTAGGTTTGAAAATCATCAAAGAAGATAATCCTCTTTACTTAACTGCCCCTTTCATCTGAGGCCCATGAAATAAATCATAACCTGGATTACTTTCTGTGATATTTTTCTGCAATATTGTTTTACAAAGTGGGAAATTACCCCCAACATAGAATCCCGAGAGGAGCTAGCATTGTATGTAAGTCTAAAAGTAAGGCCAGCTGCATATATAGGTGCTAAACAAAGTGGTCTCTTACTCATGGGATTCAAGAAACATAAAAAAACCTTCTACTCTTCCCCTCTATCCACATTTTCTTAATGATGCCTGAAATTCCATTAATGATTCAAACCACCATTTCAGGATTGTCCTCAGTGTACTCCTTCAATAAAAGAAAAAAACAGAAATGGAAATGCATTAGGTCCCTAGCACCATAATACAGTGGTTCTTAACCTCTTGTTGTCTTCACTGATCCTTTTAAGTAAAAGGAAACAAACACCTTCCTCAGAAAAATGCACTTATATGAATACATGATAGAACTTCCAAATAATGTTTGGCGTTTGCGTTCTCCTGAAGGCCATCTAGGTACCCTCTCCAGGCTGGGTTACAAGCCTCTGGCTCAGCATCAATGAGTCTGACAGATCTCTTGCTCCTGGACAAGAGCTGCTGTGCATCTGGAGCACAGTGGGCCTAAAGAAGGTATGCAGTACTGAAGGGAAGTACTTACTACTTCATCAATTTGCTTAGAATTCAGATCACAATTTACAATTTCTCCTTAGCGAGGAATGTGGATTTCTCACACTGTCTGCCTCTGAAAACATGGCTCCCCTGGCTTCCGAGACATTGGCACCTGTCAGGATATGCCCGACTGAGACTAGACTGACTGCCAAACAGGTCTCACAACACTTGTGGGCTGATCACATTATCAGAGATACGAGGCAGAGAAAAGTTTTAACACCTTATGAATAAAGGTGGCTCACCTCTGAGGTTTTCGAATATCCCAGAGTCCCACTCCTTCCTTTGAATTGGCTGTGGCCAATAGCCGGGGCTCCACAGGGTTAAACATGACACTGTGAAAGGCTGATGGATAGTTGGCCAGGCAGAAGGGCTCTATGAAAAGAGAAATAATGATCAGTTCATTCCAGTGCCAGGCAGACAAGCAAGAGTGTGAAAGTAAGTAGGAACATAGCCTTTAACAACCACTCCAATGGGCCAGAACCCCAAAGTAGCATATCATCCCAGTCATCCTTACTCACAAGGTCCTCACAAGTCCGTGTATACAATTTTTGCACAAAGAAAGTCTGAAAACAGCAGTTTAAAAACATTTAATAAAATTTTAAACTATAATATACAAAAGTATACACAACATCTATTTAGATGTTGTGATAAAACAAAATGGGCACTATAATTGGGAAGATAAGCTGTTTTATACTAACTGAATTTCTTATCAGCTGAAAAAATCTACTACCAATTACTAATAGGATCATTATACCTTTAATTTAAATGTATTGTTTTTAGAAATTAGAAGTTTTAAAACTACACACAGATTTTATGAAACATATTGCAAAACAATAGTGTAGTTTTCCCCTCTGGTTCATAACGCTTCCTAAATTGAAAAGGGGTACAAGTGAAGAAAATTGCCTCAAACTAGAATTTTATGATTTCATTCCCAGTACTGGAATACTGAAAAAATAAAAAAATAAACCTAACCTATGAACTTCTCTTCATTCCACCAGCTCCTTACCAACTTCAACTAGATGCAACACACTGCCATCAAGTCGGACCCAACTCATAGTGACCCCTCCTTGGGTTTCCGAGGCAGTATCACTATTGAAGTAGATTGCCCAACCTTCCTTCAGAGGAGTGGCTGGTGGGTTGGAACCGCCAGCCTTCCGGTTAGCAGTCAAGTGCCTTAGGCACTATCTAATAGCAGGCACTAAATGAAGAAGGAATCACTCCCCTCCCTGGAAAAGCATACCCCTGTGGAACCCGTTAGATGTACAGGCAGAAAGCCCTTCCCAGTCTATGATTTCCAATGATGCAGTGCTGAACAAGCCCCCAGGCGGTAACGGGCTCAGTCATCTCAGCCATCAGACAGTTCAAAAAGAATGCCACCTCCCAAGCACACAGTGACTCAACCACAGCTGCTGCTTGACACTGCCTTGCCTGCCTGATCCTAAGAACAGATTCTCTTATAATCCGAACCTCAGTGATGAGCAGAGCCCAGCATATTAAATGGTTAGAATACAGAATAATAAAAAGATCCAGCCCACAGTAAGAGAGGACACAATGCAGGCAGGACAGTAAATGTATGTGCACAGGTATGATCATTACAAAGCTGTGCCAAGGGGGCCGGATAGCAGTGGCACTGAGGGTGGTGCTGGAAGAAAGGGCCTTGGAAAACAGGCAGTTAGAGGGAAAAATTTCTCTGCAGGATGAGATGCATTTCCTGAAGAATGAAATCCAATAGATCAAGTTTTTCCTTTTTTCCTGCAGAGACTCAAAGAGCACTTCTGGAGGAGGAACTCACACAGATAATCCCCCTTGACCAGAGCATATGTGCCATCACAGCAAGGTAAGGTTCTCTGGTTCTTTCGGCCAAATAACAAGCCTGAAACAAGGATGCAAGAAAAGTACCTAACAGTTGATAAACAACCAAGAAGATGTGTGTGTCAGCATCACCCACAGTACTGGCCTTGGTGGCTATTTTCGACAATGAAGCACCACATCAACTGCTCCACTGGGGCCACTAGACATCAAGGTACTAATAGGGTTCTAGAGATTCGCAAGTGGCTGGAGGGCGGCTGGCCTCACTGCTGATACTTAGGGGTAGAATGGAACCTCCAGAGGCACACATCTGTGCCCCCCTGTAACAGTTTCACATTTTCTCTCCCAGATCACTTAGGTCACAAATCGGATCTGCACCTTATGACCTAAGTGATGTGACAAATGTGAAGCTGTCACTTGGGGGCATAGATGTGTGTCTCTGGAGGTTCCATTCTACCCCTAAGTAGTCAGCAGTGAGACCAGCCATAATGTTTAATTAAGTTTGTAGCTTTTGTCATGCTTCCTCACCCACCCTTACATGCCTGCAAGTGCAAATCCTTTTTTTACTGCATCTTTTAAAGTGCTTACTGTTCTCCCTGCAATCGAGAGCACTACAACATCTTGCATGAGATGTAAACGCCTCCCCACTTCGAAATGATCTTACTCCATCAATAAACTTTTCTTATTTCTAAAATAAATACATTGGATCTGCAATGAACTTGACATCAAATTTTCAACCAAATCCAACAGCCTTTTACACTGTGAACCTACCTCCATGAGGAGACTCTCGGATGTCCCAGATGAGAACTCGGCCATCATCTGAAGAGCTGGCAAAAATGTTGTCATTCACTGGGCTCACAGACAAGCCATATACTGCATCTTCATGGGCAAACACATCCAGGGTCTCACTGCTGAGAGATAGAGAACAAGAGAGAGGCACACAGGCACATGTATGCACACAAAGTGCAGAGTCCACCCCTCTGGTATCCAGGGTAGAGTTCTCCTTAATTTTTATGAGAAAATCAATCTAGCTAAACTTGAAGATTATGATAGCATGTATTGGCCTTTTTCTAAAATGCAGGTGGATCAACTATTAAAAAGACTTTTGCAGATTTCATAAGTTTGCTTTTTACATTAAATAAAGCATATTTGAAAGTGACTCGATAGATGAGTTTCATGTTTTCACTTATTACAGGATGTGTTTGTATGCAGATTTGGGAACGATGTTTGATTTCTAAAAAGCAACCAACCAAACCAAACTCACTGCCGTCAAGTCGGATCCTACTCATAGCGACCCCTCCTTAGGTTTCTGAGGCAGTATCACTATGGAAGTAGATTGCCCAACCTTGAAATTACTTAGCACCTCTATGCCTCAGTTTCCTTATCTGTATTAGAGATCACAACAGTTCTCCTCATAAAATTATTGAGGATTAAATGGAGTCATCCATACAAAGCACTCAGAACACTACTCAGGACATAATAAGAACTCAGTAAATAGTAGCTATTATTAAGTATTATGTTCCTTTCCCTTCTAATGTCTCTCTTTAAACTTTCACCTGAAAACTATGATTTCATACCAACTTTGCAAATATAAATCTTTTTAAATCAAAACCTTATTTCAAAATTATTTTTCAGAAAAGGACAACTGATTTCACATTATTTTCTTTAAGAAATAAAAACTACTTGGGCATAAAGAGATATTTGCTTCTCTTCACGTGAAAAACAGAGTCAATCACCTTCACAAATCAACAATATATTTACCTTTCAACATCATGGAGGATAACTTGCTCATCATTTCCTATCAAGGGAAAAAAAACAGACCTTTGATCATTCCTGCAAGATGTTCCCTTATCCATGTTACAGTTTACTTTTTTTAAGTTTTCAGGGAAAAAAATATGAAGTATGTCAATATTAATACAAATTAGGAGAGTTAACTAGGAAAAATTTATTAAAATAATGTATGAAGACAGTCGTTATTATACAAAACTTTAAAAAACTTAGTAGCAACTAGGTTAATATAACAGCAGCTCCAAAATGTATTACCCAGCAGATGATTTCCTCAGTGGCCACTGAGGAAATGGTAAATGAATATGGACAAGTCAACTTACTCCATCAAGTCAGTGGGGTTTTTTCCAGGGCTTCAAACCAGTTTGAACCAGTCCCATCATGGCTGACAATGTGAAACCAGAACAGACCTGAATTTTAAAACTCTGGGTGCTCTAGAATGATAACTGGAACTGGAAAAATTATGTATTGAAACCCTGGAATGGGAAACTTGGGAGAAGTGTAGTGAGTCCTTTCAGGATCCTGATGCATGACACTAGATTATTGCCAGGACTGTGGAGAGTGACACACATTCAAAATGGTGTGGTTGGCTTCCATCTTTAAGCAGGGCATTGCTGTTTCAGTGCACCACTGTTTCTGACTCTATTCAAATCTGACAGGCAAGAAATCTGGTTGTTATGCAATGTGTATACTCCCCTTGTTTTCTAAGAGGAAGGTTAAATTTCTAGCAGGACTTTGACCTGTAATTTTTCCTGTTCTGGTTATTGTTCTGATTTATGAAAATTTTAAAAATTCTAGTCTGTTCCAGTTTTGCTTCCTTGGCCATGACTGAACCAGGAAGAACTGGTTCAAAGCCCTGCTTTTTTTTTGTTGTTTTGTTTGTTTTTACAAAATACTCATTAACGGTGAGACCGGAAATAAGCTTTCGAGCTTTTTCTATGCTGCACTTTTTAATCTGTAAAATAAGAATAATAATTGCACCTTTTAGAACAGGGCTGAGTACTTAATAAGGCCCCAATAAACGTTACCTACTGTTCCTATCCTCATCATCATTTCCTCCTGAAGATCTCTCTTTTTAAGGGTTTAAATTCATGTTTTTAGTTCTTTCTTTTTTCCTTTAAGTTAGTATTTTTTCAAATACTAATTTTCAAATATTTATTTTGTTGTTGTTGAGAATATACATAGCAAAACATATACCAATTCAACAGTTGCTACCATGTACAATTCAGTGACGTTGATTACATTCTTGGAGTTTTGCAACCATTCTCACTCTCCTTTTCCAAGTTGTTCTTCCTCCATTAACGTCATCTCACACCCCACCTAAACTTTGTGCCTAAATTTGCTATTGTCAATCTGATCCCATATAGATAGATCTTAAAGGAGCATAATTCTCAAGGCAGATATTCTGTCTGTACTATAAGCTAAACCACTGTTTGGTTTTAAGACTACTTCCAGAGATATTTTTCATTTAAAGTTTAAAGATTGTCTCCAGGCAGTAATTTCAGGGGTTCATCTAGCCTCCAAGGCTCTAGGAAGTCTGGAGACCATGAGAATTTTAAATTCTGTTCAGCATTTTCCTCCCTCCTTAAAATCTCTTGCAACATTGAAATTTGATAATTGTGTGATTCTAAATGATGGGGAAGTTTTTACCCACAATTTTTTTTTCTCTTGCATTTTTCTCTTTATTCTATTAAATGGTCCCCAAACACTACGTTCATGATGTGTAGTCCTGATTTCAAATTTTTTTATAGCCAAAAAATAAAAACCTGAATATGAAAAAGAAGGAAAACTACCCTAATTTATGTGTCTAAACTGTTACAATGCAGAGAAGACAAGCTATGGGAAATCATAGCTCAATGAGATAAAGAAAAATGAGTGATCCTAACTCTTTCTCTAAAATTCTAGCCACAGTGGATTTCCCAGGGTAGAAATTTCCCTTCCTCTCACCTCCAGAGAATACTTTGGTGTTCCCACTGTTGAAAGCCAGGCAGAAAATGTTGGAATGATGCTCTCCTTTCAGTTGTATGGGCTTGACTCTGGAGTGGATGGCTTGTTCCATGTGCCATAGCAGAACCCGGCGATCGTCTCCACCTGGAGAGGGGAGTAAGAATCCAGGGTTAAAAGAACTGACATTTCAAGGCTGACACTTGGTTTTGCCAGCCTTGAATCTCATCCTTGCCAAAACTGTACCTCTCCAACCCAAAGAGGTTCTGACAGGGTATCTAAACCTAGGACTCTTCCCCTTAATGGTAGCCACTTGACCAGGAGGCCACACAAGTATTTGCTCCCTGGAATTCAAATCTTCAACAGACATATACAGAAATGGAAAGAGGTAAGCACTAATGTTAGAGCTCTCCTAAAGCCACCCCGTTCCTATCTTTCCAGAGGTCCAGTTGTTTAATACTTCTTCACTTGCTACCTAGAATCTTTCCACTAAAGTCCTTTATTCTGCCTCAGTAAACCTGAGTTGGTTTCTATTATTTGCAACCAAAAAATTCTAAAGTAATATTTCTAGGATACTAGCTTTCAAAGCACTCTCCTTGATGTAATCTTATTGACTTTGGGACACTGCACAAATGACAACTAGAAAGTCGTCTGGTTCTCATGGCAGTAGGACTTAGACAGAACCTGGCTCTTGTGAAGCTACCCCTTGCTCTTCCCGCTGCCTAACTCTCAACAGTCTGAACTAAGTGAACAATATTACACTGTGTACGTCAGCTCCTAGAAAATACACATTCTCCAAATTCTTTATACTTGCATTTAGATTAAAAATGGCTAAAAGGATGAACACCAGACTGTTAACCATGGTTAGTGCTTCCAGGAAATGAGGTTAGATGAGAGAGGTAGAACAGATTGGGAGGGGAATACTTTTACTTTATACATTTGACTTTTTTTTTTTTTTTTAAATAACAAGCCTATATTATATTTCTTTTCTAATAAAAATTTAAGTTAAAATAGCAACAAACAGTCAGCAAACCATAGCATGGTATTGGCAAAAGAACAGACAAATAGATCAATTAAACAGAATAGAGATCCCAAGAATAGACTCACAGAAATATAGTCAACTGATCTTTGACAAAGAAGCAAAGGCAATTCAATAGAGACAGTATAGTCTTTTCAACAAATAGTACTGAAACAATGGGACATCACATGCAAAAGAATTAATCTAGACACAAAACCTTACACCTTTCACAAAAATTAACTTAGTTATCTAGTGCTGTTACAACAAATACCACAAGCAGATGGCTTTAACAAACAGAAATTTATTTTCTCACAGTTTAGGAGTCTAGAAGTCTGAATTCAGGGTGCCAGCTTTAGGGGAAGGCTTTTTCCTCTGTTGGCTCTGGGGGAAGGTCCTTGTTTCTTCAGCTCCTATTTCTTGGTTCCTTGGAGATCATGTGGCTGGGCATCAATCTTCTTCCATCTCTGCTCCTAGCTTGCTTGTTTAATCTCTTTTTATCTCAAGAGACTGACTCAAGATACACCCTACACTAATCTTGCCTCATTGGCATAACAAATAAGGCCCATTCCCAAAGGGAATTATAATTAAAGGCATAGAAATTAGGATTTACAATGCATATTTTTTGGGGACACAATTCAATCCATAACAGTAAATGAAATGGGATCACAGTCTTAAATGTTAAAACACAAAGCCATACAATTTTCAGAAAATCTAGGTGACCTTGGATTTAGGAATCCATTTAAAAAAAAATTATAAATTGTATTTTGTTAAAATTTAAAACTTTTGTTCTGCGAAACACACTTTTAAGAGAATAAATACTTGCAAAACTTATCTGATAAAACACTTATAACCAAGATGCACAAAAAATTCTTCAAACAATACGAAAACAAAAACCCAATTGAAAAATGTGCAAAAGATCTGAACAGAGGACTTCTAGTAAGATGACAGAACAGGCAAACAAGCTACACAGACTCTCTTCAACAAAGAAAAGAGAAACCAGCTGACACAGATACAGGAGATCATCCTGGAGCCCTGAGCTTTGAAAGGAAGGATACAGAAGTGGATTAAAAACCAACAGGTAGAAGAACCACCAGCCACTCCTTGGAAAGAAGATTGGGCAATCTACTTTCATAGTAATACCACCTGGGAGGTGACAATGAGTCCAATCTGACTCGATGGCAGTGAGTTTGGTTTGACCACAAGAACCTGAATGAAAACAGCGAATAAGAAGACAAATAGACTGTCAGCTATCCTGATGGCACGGACAGCCTGAATATTTCAAAGTGGTGTTAGGACCTGAGAATTAACCTCAAAATCGGCCCTGCTCGCCAAGGGCTCTAAGGACAACCATGCTGGTGGCTGATGACTAAAAAGGGAAACAGAAAAGAAGGAGACAAACTGAGCTGTGGACTTCTGGCTGTTCGAAGGGCACAGCCACTCTGCATGTTTACAAGTGGCAGCCATTTTGGATATTTAAAGCGACAGCATTCTCATTCAGACTTCAAGGATCTAAGAATAGGCTCCACTTACTTGCCAAGGGCAGCACAGACATATGCGAGGCTGACGACTGCAAAGGAGACAGGTGGTGACTGCTTAAGTGCTGCCAACTAATAAATAAAGAAGTGAAGTACCCTGGTTACTCAGATAACATCCAAGCAAAACAAAGAAAATGAAAATCTTGGGCTAATCACTCCAATATACAATGAGCAATTAAATATAAACACAAAAACGTCACAATGTCTTGAGCACAACAGACCACCACAGTTCACACAAAGAAGCAAGATAAAGCAGGAGAAACAAGGGACCAGGATACAGACCCAAAACACATCCTTGAGGAAGATGCAGCATTGGTACTCCCTGATAGGGAATGCAAAAGAATTATATTTAGGTACCTTCAATGGATTGAGAGACAGATCAAGGAAAACACTAACAAAGTTGAGGAAACCACAGAGAAAACCCTAGAACAATTCTGGAAGACAATACAAGAACTAAATGAAAAATTAGAAATGATACAAAATCTACACACAGAAATCCAAAAGATTAATACTAAATTTTCAGAAACTGCTAACAGAATTAATGGATAAAGGAGTAGAATTGAATTAGTGGAAGACAGAATTAATGAGATTGAAGGCAAATGCCTCAATACTTCTTTGGAAAGAAGTCAAACAGAAAAAACATCAAAACAAAATGAACAAGCCTAAGGTTCATGTGGGATACCATCAAAAGGAATAACCTACATGTAATCAGAATTCCAGAACAGGAAGAGACAAATAAAAGCACAGAGAAAATTGTCCAAGATAAGTTGGAAGAGAATTTCCCTAATATGATGAAAGATGAGAATATATCCATTCAAAAAGCCCAACGAAGCCCAAACAGGATAGACCACAAAAGAAAATCACTAAGACATATCATCAAACTCACCAAATACAAAGACAAATAAAGAATCTTAAAAGCAGGATAGGAAAAACGAAAAGTTACCTACAAAGGGCAACCAATAAGACTCAGTGCTGATTTCTCAGCAGAAAATAAGCAGGTGAGAAAGCAATGGGATGGTACATAGAAAACCCTGAAAGAGAAAAGTTTCCAACCACGAGTTACATACCCAGCAAAAGTGTCCCTCAAATATGATGGTGAAATAAGGACATTTCCAGATAAGCAGAAATTAAGGGAATTTGTTAAAGCCAGATTAACCTTACAAGAGATGCTAAAGGGAGTTCTTTGGACAGAGAACCAACGTCAGCAAACAATAATTGACCATTAACACACATGATGACATAACCTAAAAACCAATTCAGTTATGGAAGTATCTAAAGTAAATAAGATTACAAGATTGTAAACAGGGAACCAGGGACATCAATTGACAAATGAGGGCAACTACAAACCAAAAAGAGGGAGAAAACTGTATAGTTACAGAACTTCTAAAAGGTGAGGAACTCAAGACAATCACAAGATAGAATGGACTGTTCTAAACTTGGGAAGAAAACTATAAATCACAGGGTAACCTCAAAAAAAAAAAAAAAAGATAAACCTTCATATCAAAATAAAAAAGAGGACCAGCACAAATATTTAGCAAATACTAAAACAACAGCAATGGAAGAAGTGATAACACAATTCATAAAAACGCGTTCAGCACAGAAAATTACATGGAACAAAGAAATCAGTAACACCATGGAAAAAACACATAACAAAATGACAGCAACAAATTCATACTTGTCAAAAATTACACTGAACGTCAATTGATGAAAGGCATAATCAAAAGAGAGAGAATTGCAGAACTGATAAGAAAATATAATCTATCAATATAGTGTCTACAAGAGACACACCTTAGAGACAAAGACAAAAAGAGACTAAAAATCAAAGGTTGGAAAAAGATATATCAAGAAAATGGCAACCAAAAAAGAACAGGAGTGGCAATATTAATTTCTGATAAAATTGACTTTAAGTCAAAAACCACCATAAGAGACCAGGAAAGACATTATATAATGATCAAAGGATCGGCTGAACAAGAGGACAAAACTATAATAACTATCTATGCACCCAACAGAGAGCCCCAAAATACATAAATCAGACATGAACAGAACTGAAAAGACAAATAGATGACTCCACAGTTATAGCAAGTATTTTAATACACCACTTTCAATGAATCATAGAACAAATGGAAAGAAACTCAACAAAGATGCAGAGAACTAAACAATACAATCCATCGACTTGAACTTATAAACAGCTACAGAGCACTTCACCCAACAACAGCACAATATACGTCCTTTTCCAGTGCACATGGAACATTCTCCAGGATAGACCATATGTTAGCCACAAAGCAAGCATTAATAAATTTAAAAACACTAAAATGCAAAGCATCTTCTTAGATCACAATGCTATAAAATTAGAAATCAACAACAGGAAGATCAATGGAAAAAGAGCAAACACATGGAAACTGAACAATACCCTCCTTGAAAATGACTGGGTAATAGAAGAAATAAAAACCAAACTTAAAATATTCCTTGAATAAATGAGAATGAAAACACAACATACCAAAATCTTTGTGACATAGCAAAAACAGTAATCAGAGGAAAATTTAAGGCAATAAATGAACACGTCAAAAAAGAAGAGCCAAAATAAACACCTTAAC